ATTCTTGGAGAAGAAAATGATGCATGGAAGGGTGGAAGGAAAGCACAAGAGAGGAGGACTCTGGATAAAATAGATTGATTGACTCAGTAACTGGGGTAATGGTGGTTGGGGTGTCAGAGACAATGAGACAGAGTTCAGAGCTATTGTACATAGGGTCGCTAAGAGTCGCAGGTGACTCAGCAGCACATAACAACAAGGCTGTAAATGGTTTTTCTTCCCCAAACACATATTCTTTATTTGTTCATTTGATTAAAAAGTTAAAAAATAAAGATAGATTTATTAGAAAGTTACATCCCAAAAGGAATAGACCTCTCTCCTTGACAGGAAAAATAGAGAGTCCTGCTTATTTGAATTATCAAAATTAATTTTTACTTCCCTCCCATCACTATTAACCCTCAAAAGATTGATCCTCAAAAGATTGATGCTGGGGAGCTCTGGTGGCCTAGTGGTAAGGAGCTGCAACTACAATCCCAGAGGCACACGGTTCGAATTCACCAGATGCTCTGCGAGGGAAGGAGGGACAATCACCTCCTGTACCAGTCAGATCTGATTTGACGGTACACTCACACAAAAATAATAAAATAAAAATTTAAGGAAAAAAAAAGATTGATTCTGTGTGTATTCATTTCCTTTAACAATTCATTGCCTTTAAGTTCGAACCAACTCAGAGCTGACCCTCCAGCATGTTTTCTGAGGCTGTAAATCGCATGAAAGGAGACTGCCCATCTTTCTTCCACAGTCACTGGTAGATTCAAACCACCAAAGGGGTTTGGGGTTCGCAGTGCAACTCCCTGAAGGAGGCAATACTAGAACTCTCACCCTTCCTTAGTTTTTTTATTAGTGATTTTACAGTATAATTGTCCCCTTGTGACTGACTGACATCCCTCAGTATAACTTAACTTGTTCTAGATTAATTCATGTTTTGCAATGTAACACAAATTCTTCAACATCTTTTAGTGATATAACATCCATTGTATGAATATACTGTGTTTCTTCACTCATCCATCCTTTGTTGAACTGCTGGCTCCCTATTTTTAGCCTTCTATGTTTACTATCCTTTATGTATGCTTTTGTCTAATCAGTTTGTGAATGATGTTGTCATGTGTGTGAATTTCAGTTTGTCATCTATTGTTGCCTCTTGATCTGAAGAACTTCAGTATTTCTTGGTTTTTTTGAAGGGTTTGTCTAGTTCTCATTAATTCCCTGAGTTTCTGTTTAATTGAGAATGCCCTCATTTCATCAACACATTTGAGGGACAGTTTTCCTGGGTAGAGGATTCTTGCCTTATATTTTCTTCCCTTTCAAATGTTTGATATCATCCAATTGCCTTCTGGCTTGAATGGTCTCTGCTGAAAAACTGGAGCTTAATCTTTTTGGTTCTCATATGGGTGTTTTGGGTTTGTTTTTTTTTTTTTTAACCATTAATTTTGAAAAATTTTATTATGTCCTAGTGGTGTTCTTTTTGGTTTTGCTGTTTGGGGTTCACTCAGCTTTTAGAGTTTTATTAACTATGCAAAGGCATTTGATTATGGGGACCATAACACATTATGATTAACTTTGAGAATAGGTTTCCCAGACCCATTAATTGTACTTATGGAAAACCTAGGCCCAGACCTAGAAACTGCTGCCTGAATACAGCAAGGGAGCAATGCATGGTTTAAAAGTAAAAAAGTATACATCAGGCTATCCTTTCTCCAAACCTGTTCAATCTGTATTCTGATAAAACAATTAGAGAAGCTGAACTTTATGAAGACTGTAGCATCAGGATTCGAGAAAGACTCATCAATAAACTGCCTTATGCAAATGACACAACCTTGCTTGTTGAAAATGAAAAGGATCTAAAATACTTTCTACAGAAGATCAAAGATTACATCCTTCAACAAGGATTACATTTTAACATAAAGAAAACAAAAATCCTCACCACTGAACCAACGGACATCATGATAGATAGACAAAAGACTGAAGTTGTCAACAACTTAATCTTACTTGGATTCACAATCAATGCCTTCATACCAACAGTCAAGAAATCAAAAGACATGTTGTTGTTGTTAGGTGCTGTTGCATCGAGCGCAACACAGCGACCCCACGGACAAAAGATGAACTCTGTTTTGTCCTGTGGTATCCTCACCCTTCCTGACATACAAAAGCCCATAGCAGTAGTCACTTGTGTCAATCTACCTGGTTGAGGATCTTCCTCTCCCTCACCAACCCTCTACTCTTCCCAGCATCTTGTCTCTCTCCAAGGAACAGCACCCCCTACATGTCCAAAGTATGTGTGGCAAAGCATCATCCTTCTTGCCTCCAAAGAGCACTCTGCACCATCTCCAAGGACTTGGCTGTCCATGCGATGTTCAGTGCTCTTCTCCAACACCACAGCTTAAAGGCATCAATTCTTTTTCTGTCATCCTTATTCATTTTCCATCACAGGCGACTCAAAGGCACATAGAACAAACAACAGCAATAACTTGTTCTGTAATGATTGTTTTGTAGATTTTCCCCCCGTTTAAATTGGTTTCACTTTGCTGCCTGAGCTATTACAGTGATGTAAATCTTTGCATTCTTTTATCTGACTGAACCACCGTTTAAGTGTGTTGTTACATTGTTGCTAGTCTAGGGATTTTTTTTTCTAAATAAAATTTTGTGATTTTAACGAACATCTACAGAGAAGTTAGATTTTCATTCCTTCACTGTTGTACACAACTACTTTTAAAATCTTAAAACTAGGGGATAGTATATATGCAGTCCCCCACTACTACAAATTATGCAGTTGAGTGTCTGCATTTAGGGAATTCGCAGGGGTCAGCATGTCCACAGTGCAATGGATGAGCTTCACCCTAGGAAAACTATCTTCTTGATTGTGTTATTTCCTCAGTTTGGTGATTCTTTTTTTTAGTTTGGTGATTGTTAATGGCTCACCTCCTGTCTTCTGGTAGCTGTGACAGAGGATGGTGATGTATGCAGTTCTCTGTTCTCTGTATAGAGCAGTTGAGGGCAGACTGGGCCCACGTTGGTCAAACAGGTGAAGTAGGGGCCAATCTTTTGTTGTACCTGTGGGGTGTAGCTGCAGGAGGTGTACACGTGACTGCATTTTTGCTCTTTCCTCTGGCAGCTAGCTGTTGTTGGGACAATGCCTCAGTCAAGGTTTCTGAGTCCTCTTAACTCAGAAGCGGAAGGCTAGTGCTGTTCCTTAAGTCTGGAAACTGCTGAAACCTGTCCACCATGGGTGACTCTGCTATTTAAAATACTGATTTGAAATAGCTTCCATCAGCACAGGAATACACGAGCCACCACAGTGCAGCAAGTGCATTATGGTCCTATATACTGTTGACTCATAGTTTCCATTCTACACTCTCCCTCATACGGAGATCACTCAGTCACTGCTCAGTCAGGACCAACCCACAGCTGACCCTCCAACTGGTTTTCAAGCTTCTAAATTGCATGGGGGGAGATTGCCCATCTTTCTCCAGCAGAGCTGCTGGTGGATTTGAACTGTCAGAAAGATATGGCTTTTGGGTTGGTGGCTCAACTTTCATCACACATCACCATCAGAGCTCCCTTAAGGAGAGGGATAGAAGCGTGAAAACTGTATTTCCTACTTGCCATCAAGAATCTGGTATGAGCTGCCTGTGTGAGGCTCTTGCCAGAGAATGGAAGGCAGAAGAAGTAGAAGCTACTTCCTATGGTTCCATGGATACCAGACCCCTGAGGTGGACATGGGGCAGTGAAAGGACAGAGGAGCAGAGATCCATCAAGGGCAGTGATAAAAGCAGCAGACAACCCAGAGTTTAGGAGGTAGTCACAGTCGGCACACAGTGTGTTAGAAGTCCTTGTTAGCTGTCCTGGAACTGACCTGCTCTTGAAGATTCTGTGTGTACAGAGCAGAACTGCACCATAGGTTTTTAAGCAGATGACCAGGACTGTGTCCCGAGGCTCCACTGGGCAGGTTCAAATTGCCCACTTTTGGGCAAGCAGCTGAATGCTTAACTGTTCATGACTCCTAGGGACTCCCATGAAGCAGACTGGGGCAGGTCCCACGGGTGGCAGCTACCTCCCCAGTTCTCTGGGTAATACTACCCCCTCCCCTTTTTTCTTTCATCTTATCCTATTTTCTACTCCAAACACCTATTTATTAAATCCTTCTCCAAAATAATTCGCGTGTGAACTGTCCATCCCCCTCCACTAAAGCACTACTACTTCAATTCTAAAAATAACCATAGAAATTTGGTAGGAGTAAGCTGTGTGTGACACGCTGTTTTTCAGTTAGTTTAACATAGCCATTACCAGGAATTTTTTTTGTGTGTGTGGGTGGTTTTTTTTACACCAGGTTTTTAAAGGAAAATGATAAAATATAAGTTTTTCTACAAGAAATAGACTAAGCAGCTTGTTTTTCTTTTTATTTTTTCAGTTCAAAATAGATTCAGTTTGAAAAGGTACTTTGTACAAAAAACATGTCTTTATAAACATCATAATGATATTCAGGAAGATGAAGATGCACATCTTATGCCAGGAAAACAGAACCAAGACTAGTGTGAGGATACAATAGATTTACAACTTCCGTCTATTCTTATTTACCCTGAGAACATACATACAAATGGAAAAACAGAGCACAATGGCATGTATTCTTAGTATTCTGAACTTCCTCATCTTTGTTGAGTGCACATAGCTAAAAGTGCAAAATGAAAAGTTCAATGTTTTTAGGACTATATTTTCTGCTAGAATTGGAGGAATTTGGTATATTTACACTTCTAAAACAGTTCCCCGCATTTTCAAGGTAATGGTACAGAAATAATAAATCATTTCATATGCTCTTGTTTCTTTACACATAAAAGCAAACTTTAATATGAATGTATTAATTCCTTTTTATGTTCCACTATACATTCAATAAAAAGCAGTAACAAGCGCTCTTCTAATACACATTTATACACACACACACACACACACACACACACACACATATACACACCTAAACTAGGAAAAAAGGCCATGAAAATAACTTCTGCTTAATTCTTTTCATTTACTTCTTCCTCACTGTCATCATCACTATAAAAGATGTCTCGAAACAAGAAAACTTGCTTTAATGGGGCTGGAGTTTGAATTTCAATGCTGTCTTTCTCCAACTTCTTTTCCAATTTTT